CACACACACCTTGGGGTTGAATGAGAGACTAGAAGCAGCTGGGACAGATCTGGAAAGATACTGAGAACCAGGGGACTAGACCGGGAAAGGAGCAAAGTCCTGGCTGGTTGCTGCCCTCTGGTGGTGACAGCGGATGACACTGGAAACGCCTGACTTTGTCAAGGTGACATGCTCCCCAGACCATCCCAGACCCTCAGGGAGAAGCTGAGGGCCCCCGAGACAGAGATTGGGACCTCCCAGGAACAGGGCATAGGTCAGAGGGAGGGCCCCTATCACCTGGAGCTACCCCACCCCTCGCCACGCCCTAACCAGATGTGCATTAAGCCCTTTTGATATGGATGGAGGTGGGTCTCAGCCTTTCCACTGAAGATCTTTCAATCTAGGAATCCGGAAAGGCAGCCAAAGCTGAATGGGGCAGGGGGCAGAAAAAGGTGGGGGTTAGGGGAGGGGTCAAGGAGAAGATGGGAGAGAAGGCATGGGGACACTGGAATAGCATGTTTTGGAGGATGGAAGGGCTCTTCCCAGGCCCTATCTGGAGGAGTTCCAAACTTCCAGGATCCTGCCTGATATCCCACGTGTGCCCCCAGGCCTAGTGAGTTTGAGGAGAAAGGTCAGGGGATGCCACTTCTGCGGTAAAAGCAAACAGCCCCACGGCACACACAGACACGGACGACACGTGCGGCGGGGAGAAGAGAGCGGGCCATAGAAAGATACACAGGCTCTTCAAGCAGCCACCCAGAGACCAACTTTCATCCCCTAGAAAAGGGTCTCCTGGTTTTGCCCTTGTTTCTTTTTCTTTTCCTTTTAAAAATTTGGAGGAATGGGGCGCCTGGGTGGCTCAGTTGGTTAAGCGACTGCCTTCAGCTCAGGTCATGATCCCAGGGTCCTGGGATCGAGTCCCGCATCGGGCTCCCTGCTCTGCGGGGAGCCTGCTTCTCCCTCTCCTTCTACTGATCCCCCTGCTTGTGCTCTCTCGCTCTCTCTGTCAAATAAATAAATAAAATCTTTAAAAAAAAAATTTGGAGGAATGGTCCACTGATTTTCAATCATGTACAGAACTTCTCGTTCATTAGAGCAAAAGACATGGTATATTTTTTCGTCTAATAATACTATTTAGGGAAATCGGTTCAACATTTGTTGTTTAGTGAGTTGCCCTTGTTTTTTTAGTCCCCAGAGCAGAAAGCCAGGCATCCTGAGTTTATTGCCCCAGAAAGAGAAGGCTGTGCTGCCATATGCCACCCATACCCCCACGGTCATCAGTGGCACCCCAGGCCCCTTTGGCATCTGCTGCTCATGACGTTCAGAAAGGTTACTCACCTCTGGCAGCTCTGTCCTAAGTGACCAAATCCTTTTGTGGTCACCAAAAAGACTCCCTCAGAGAAAAGGGGGACAGGCTCTAGGAGCTTCTCCAGATGGCTAGAGCAGAGAGAGGAGAGAGGGGTTTCTTTGGGGTGGCAGGGAGTCCATATTCTAGTCCCACCTAAAAGTGGTGCTCGCCTCCCTGATTCCACATCAGATCACCGGATTCCTCCTTGTTTCCTCCTGCCTTTGACAAAAATGCTTTCAGATGGTATTTGTAGGAATGGCGATGGCGGAGGGAGAAACAGTTTGAAATCCCCCCCCTCCCCCCTTGATGAGGGGACTGGGAGCCCACAGGACAGTTCGGGGACAGTCTTCCCCAGGAAATGTGGAGGATAGGGATGGAAGTGGGGATCGAGGACCCTGCAGATACCACAGTTACAAGCCTCCTGCCCAAGCCCAGGTGGTCTTCTATCAATCACTAGGAACTGGATCCCACAACTAAGCTGAAGTTTTCTCCCTCCCCAAGACTGTATTTCCAGCTTTATCATGGTCTCTTCCTTCTTACCACCATCAGCAGCAAATAGGAAAAACGGAGGCCCGGAGAGGTCAAGCTAGCATCCCGGGGGAGGGGGGGGGGTGGTCACACAACATCAGATGCAGGATCAGAACTCAGGAGTTCCTGGTGCCTCTTGGCAAAGTTGCAGCCAGAGCTCCCCCTATTGCCCTGGAGACCCCCTTGGGCTGTGAGTAAGCTGGCCCTGAGGACCTGGAGCCCTGGTGTCAGTGAATTAGCTGGGACCAGGAGTCCCCTCTGGGCTCGCCCTGCCTGGGTGGACAAGCTGGAAGGGGATCCTCGGTGGACAGGGAGGTGGCAGCTGCCGGTGGAGTGGGGGGAGAGATATTTTTAGAGGTGGCTGGAAAGCAGGCATTCTGGCACACCCCCAGCTGGCGGGTGCTTCGCTCCAATGCGGGGCAGGGGGTGCGCAGCTCGGGGAGCCCAGGGGACTGGTGGGTGGCGGGGAGCAAGGGGGCACAGATTCCTTCGCTTTGCCCGAGTCGGGGACAGAGGGCTATCCCGGCACCACGTTCGTGGGGTAGGAGAAAGAAGGAGGACTCATTTCTCCGCTCCAGGGACTCCCCCACTGACACACGTGAAGGAGCGCCCTCAAACTCCACGCAGCCCCCACCCCACACTGGGACCCCAGCCCTCCCCTACCTCGGGGAGCCCAGGACTCACGTGGGGAGTGGCAGCGGTAGAGGTCTGTCCCGGCTTAGTTTGGAGTGTAAAGAATGGGGGAGAGGGGCTAGCTGAGGTATTTGGGCGCAGGATGGGGCAAAGGGTGCTTACGGGAATTGGAGGGGACGCGGTGTCTTATCCACCCCCGGATTTCTGGGCTCCGGCTCACGAGTCCCTCCAGTCCCGAGGGCCCGTGGATGATGTGCGTCTGGGCCGCCCCCTCCACCTGCCCCCCATCCCCCCGGGCAGCCGCCGCGTCCCCTTTAAATGCCCGGGAGCCGGAGCCCGAGCCGCGGCTGGCGCTGCGGCTGCCGCAGCACCCGGGCCCACCGCAGTCCCCGCACGTCACAAGCGACTGTCCAATCACAGCGGCGCCGGCGCACATCAAAGGGGCGGGCCGCTTGCGGGCCACGCCTCCCGGCTGTCCCGCAGGCTCCCCGAGCGCGAGCGAAGGTGGGGTTGCGCGCAGGGAGAAAGGAGAGAGGGAGCGCATCCCTGCGGAGGAGCGTGGGTGGGGGGCACCCTCGCTGGAGCGGCTGCGGGGCTCTGCGTGAGCCCCCGCCCGCACACCCAGAAGTGGCAGGGCTGTGCCTCCAGGGCGCTGAGCCCTGAGATTTGCAGAAATGCACCCCTCCGCCAGCCCCCATGCCCTTCTTGGCTCCTAAGCCCAGCGGTAGGCCCCGTTGGCCCCAGCCCAGGAAAAGCAGTTCCTCCCCCACGTGCGCCTAGCTCTGCCCTCCGCGCGGAGTCGCGGCACCTCGCCTCTTGGGACCCTTCCTCGGTTACAGGTTACAGGGGATTGCCGGGGAAGGGGCTCTCCCGCTCCCCTACCCCGTGAACACTGATTTAAGGACGCAACTGTTTGCCCTTTGCAAGTGGTGTTGTAAATAAAAAACCCACTTTCTCTTCTGTTTCGTAAGAGTTGGTGCCTAGCCACACTCCCCTGCCTCCCCCTTCCCCCCCCCTCCCCGACCCAAGCCCTCCCCCCAGCTCCCTCTGCCCTCCAGCCCGATGGTTGAGGAGAAGCTTATGTTTCAACAGCAGAGAGCCAAAACTTATATATACCGAGAACGTACTATGAACAGGGCACTGTACTAGGTTGCTGCACTTAACAGTTGCATATTCACAACAGGAGAAATTACTTGCCTGGGTTCAAACCTAGGCACACCTGGCCCACGGGGTCACAAAGGAGCTGTGTGGATGCAGAGCCTAGGCGCCCCCAGGCCGGGGTCTAAGTCTCCCCCTGCTCCACTCCTCCAAGAAAGCCGGCAGGTGGAAAGGCCCTGTGGGATCTGGCAGCCCGTGGCTCTGGAAACCGGCGGGGGAAGGAGGGTCAGCAAGGAATTACCCTGTGCATGTACAAAGGAGAATGAACGCTTTACAGCTGCTTAAAACCCTTGACTGTAACTTCCAGCTCCCCAGCTCCCCAGCTCCCCAGCTCCTTCACTGCCTTGCCGCTGACGCCCCTGTCCTCGCTGCCCACCCTCTCTTCCCGCTCTGCAGCACCCCTCATGTTTCCTGGGGACTTCCCTCCTCAGGAACACACCTGCCCCATTTGCTGGGTGAGCCCGGTCTCTGTCACACATCCTGAAGCTCCTTCTATCACACCGATCACCTGTGTGCCTCCAGAACACGTGGGGAATGCCGTCAGTACACTTCCGTGGGTCAGCTCACATAATCCTCACCACTCTCTGAAATGCTGCATGGCTCCTTCTGCTGTTGGGAAATCGGGGCACAAAGAGTTGAGCTTGCCCAGGGTCATCCAGCAGGTGAATGGTACAGCTGGGCTTCCAGCCTGGTTGCCTTTTTGTTGTTAAGGTTTTTTTTTTTTGTTTGTTTTTTAATTTGTCAGAGAGAGAGAGCACAAGCAGGGGGAGTGGCAGGCAAAGGGAGAGGGAGCAGCAGGCAGAGGGAGAGGGAGAAGCAGGCTCTCTGCTGAGCAGGGAGCCTGATGCGGGGCTCGATCCCAGGACCCCGGGATCATGGCCTGAGCTTAACCGACTGAGCCACCCAGGTGTCCCCCAGCCTGGTTGCCTTAACCTTTACCCCACACTGTGCCCCTCCTTCAGCGTCTGCCACCCCTGTCAGCAACAGGAGGGCAGAGACCACGTTTGCCTTGTGTGGTAATGTTCCGCCCACCCCAGCACGGAGACTGTTGGCGCACAGTAGGCCTTAGATGTTTGTTGTTAAATGAAACACATCGTCTGCTGTGTTCAGCTCGACCTAGCACTCCGTTTGTGTCTCCTCATTTTATCTTCTAACTGGTCACTGCAGGATTATCCCCATTTTCCAACAGGGAAATTGAGGCTCAGAGAGATCAAATGAGTTGCCCAGGGTCACACGCCCCCAAGGAGGCACTAGATGCAGATCCAGATGCTGACGCTGACGTTTTCCACCGATGGGGCTGAGGGTGGGGCGGGCCGTAACTTTCTGTGGGTGGCGGCCTGAGCCAGTTCTTACTGCCCACCTCTGCCTTCCAGGCTTGCGGATATCAGAGCCACAGGGGCTCTGTGCAAAGCACCTCTGTGGAATAAATCTAGAAACTCCCAGTTCCCCCTACGCTGAACTTTTCAGGGCACAATCCTACCTCTCTTAAACTTTCCCCCCTCATTGTGCCAATGAACACAGCTGCGCAGTTGGACAAGTTGGATGATCAGCCATGTGTCTAAAGAGGGGGACGGAAAGGGGAGGGGAGTCCTACCTCCCACCTCACCCCATCCCGGGCTCCAGCAGGGTGAGGCCTCTGCCCAGCACTCAGCTGCAGAACTTCCTCTTTTCCTGTGGGGTTCACCTTAGAACTCCCGGCAGTCAGTCTGGCAGAGAGCTTGCGGGGCTGGGGTCATCTGAGGCGACAGACACAGGAGTTTCTGGGGAAGCCTGACTCAGGTGGCCAGGGATGGGGCTCTCCGGTTGGCCTTGACGAAGAGGGTGTGACTCTCGCCTAAGGTTTTGGCGTTAGAGCCCGGGAGGCCAGGAATCAGGACCCGGGACTCTGGCTCTGCGACAGGCCTGGTGGGGGAGGGGCAGTGGCGGAAGGGGAGGGGCAGATCGCCTGGTTCCTCCGAACACTCCAGCTCCGGGAAGGACCATTTTGTGCCAGGCACGTAATCCGCACGACAGCCCCGACCGATGGGTTTTAGTATTCTCCTTTTTACAAATGAAAAAGCAGAAGCTTGGGGACATTAAGAAAGTGCGTTGCCCAAGGACACTGTGCAGCAAGTGGCGGTCAGCTCCGATGTTGAGGTCTGCACTTCTCTGTCTGGAGGAGGCTGAGGCCCTTCAGTGACCTGGCGACTTGTGCAGGTGGGCTTAGCGCCGGAGGCCACCGGGAGGGCCCCGTTCGCAGTTCTGCGGGTTCTGCCGGAGGTGCTCTGGGCCTCAGGCGTCATGCTGGGGCGTAGGGACTTTTCAGGTCTCTCGTCCCCTTCCTAGACGACAGTCACTGGCAGAGCGCTTACTGTGTGCCAAGCAGTGTTCTAAAGGCTCAGCTCTCTTCATTCTCACATCAACCCTAGGATCTATTTGTTCCTCCACCTTACAGATGAGAAAAATGAGGCACCGAGTGGTATGTAGTCTGTCCAAGGCCCCAGAACTGGGAAGTGGCAGAAGCAGGATTCGCACGAGTTTTGAGTTGCCCTTCTGTGGATGGGCATGGGCTGCCTCACCCCTGCGCTGGTGCTCGGGAGAACCTGGCAATAACGTAGATCGAGGTTCAGATCTTCCGAGCTCTGTTCCGTGGGTGGCTGCCGACCGTCTCCCGCTCTCCGGGTCCTCCCTACGATACAGTACTCATTTGTGCTGTCCTTCATTGGACAACTGCTAACTGTGTCAGGCCCTGGGAGATAAGACATTGAAGAAGACACAGACCCTGCCTCAGGGAACTTACAGTCCAGAGAGGAGACAGAGATAAGCGAACAGCTTTTCCCCAAAGTGTCAGACAACTGGCAGATCTGTTCTGCCCGGGACCATTCTGTCTTGGACTTCAGCAGGTAAAGCAGCTGGGACCTGAGGTGCCTCTGGGCTAAGGAGGAGACTCATAATCTGGGGGTCAGGTCCACCCCCCCAGGGATGCCCCCATCCTGACCACTCTCCTTCCCCGTCCCACCTCAGCTCCTACTCTTGCCTGCTGCTGGCTTCCCCTCCCTTCTTTCTCCACGTCCCCTGAGCAGCCTGGAGACACTTGAGAGCAACCTCCCCACCCTTGCATCTTTCCCTCCCTGCCTTCCCCAAGCCAGCCCCTCTCCCACAACAGACTCACCCAGACAGAGCTGTCCACTATCCCCCCTCAGTAAGCAGCAAGGATGGGGAGTCATGTGGCAGAGGGAGCTGGGTAAAGAGGTGAACGTGCAGACATCCTTTCTGCTACCTGGCAGACACCCTCAGCAGGTGGTTGAGAAAGTCACCCCTCCCCACCCAGGGTCCCAGTTGGGCCAGGAAGTCCTTACAGTCTGACTCAAATCCCTCTTGCTGGGATATTTCCTCTCACTTGGCTTCTAAGGCACCCTCCTTCTGTGTAATGGCTTTCAGAGTCTTGAAATCTGCCACTCCATTTCCTCCGTTTTTCGCAAATGTCACACTAAAGAGAACAAGGTGATTTCGTCTCGGCCTGCCTCGTGTCCCTGGTTACTTCTTGCATCCCTCCCCTGCTCACTCTGTGTAACAGCCTTGTTTCAGCCTTTCAAATGTGCTACACCACAGGCCCTTTGCACTTGCCATGCCCTCTTTCCAGCGTAATTCCCACCGCATCCATCCCACTGAGTGCAGGGCTCAGCTCATCTGTCACTTCTTTTTTTTTTTTTT